ATATATATATATATATATATATATGTATATATATTAACTTGAAACATTCACACTACATAAATATTCACACTAATGCAAGATATCAATGAGTTTATCAATATCATCATTTTTTTTCTTCTTTGGCTCTTTTAATTTTTTTAGACCTTTGTTTTTCCATTTCAAACAATACCAGATTTCAAAAGCACTATCAGACTTTTTTTATATTCAATATAGTATTGTATCATTTCATTTGTGACCCTGGAGCACAAAAGCAGTCTTAAGTCGCTGAGGTATATTTGTAGCAATAGCCAAAAATACATTGTATGGGTCAAAATTATTGATTTTTCTTTTATGCCAACAATCATTAGGCTATTAAGTAAAGATCATGTTCCATAAAGATATTTTGTCAATATCCTACCGTAAATATATCAAAACTTAATTTTTAATTAGTAATATGCATTGCTAAGAACTTAATTTGGACAACTTTAAAGATGATTTTCTCAATATTTAGATTTTTTTGCACCCTCAGATTCCAGATTTTCAAATAGTTGTATCTCAGCCAAATATTGTCCTATCCTAACAAACCATACATCAATGGAAAACATATTTATTCAGCTTTCAGATGTATAAATCTCAATTAAAAAAAATGTACCCTTATGACTGGTTTTGTGGTTCTGGGTCACATTTAACGTGTGCTAGTGTCAATGGTATATCGTTTAAAAACAGGCAAATATATACATATACATGATATACAATTATGTGCTATCAGTTTCAGTGCATTGCCAATACTTTTGAAACTTGTCACAGGAAAAGAAAATATAAAAGAAAAAGGTAAAATCCAATAGCAGCCTAATCAACCGAGAAAAAAATAAAAAATATTGGCTGATACCAAACATAGCTTCCCAATAATCATCCATAGCCCTTTATTTATTTAATATTTACAGTTACAGTTAATTCCGACTGTGCAGTTCAATTCCTCACTATAAAAACAAAGGCACAAGAGGTTTAAAAAAAGCCTAAACCCATGTAACACAATCCAGAGAAACACTGAGGTGAAACTCGACACTTACTATCCATCCTCTGTATGATAATCATAGGGCGGAGGACTCTCGTGCGGCCTCGAAGACATTCTGAAGACACAACAACATGAATATTTTTAAATACACCAAGTATAAAACTAACATAAATCATACGCACTTTATCTAATTTCACTATTATCAACTAAACGTCAATCGTCATTACGACTGAGCGGAAAATAAACAAAATTGACAATTAGTGGGTAAAACACACGGTGTAAAAAAGTACTATTTTAATATTTAAGAGAAACACACCATGAGAACGCCAGATTCTGAGACTCTTCACTAACTAAACGCGATTGAGTTGTTTCTGAAGTAGCCTAAATCTCAGTGATAGTCGGCATCAATGATCTTATATCAAATTAACGCAGATATAAAGCGCTGTTACGTAGGCTACTATAATTTTAATTACATAATATTCTATATTTTGTAGTTTCAGTCTCACCTGTTTGCGGAGTTGCTCTCGCGCACTGACGTTCACTGTGTCACTGTTCAGGACAGGTGAGACAAACAACCTGCCCTATAGATGATTAGACCCCGCCCACACACACACACACACACGCACGCACGCACGCACGCACACACACACACACACACAGAGCGTGTCTCAAATTCTAACGAGTTTCCTAACTAGACAGCTTCATGTGCCCAAGACTGATACCATGAGTTTATAACTCTACGTTTATAATGCTGCCTTATTATTATATACGGTAGCCTACCTAAAAATGCTGTCTAGATAGGCAGCATAGTAGATTTTGAAACACAGCCATAAAGAGAGACCGTCTGGTATCAGGATACAGACACGTTACAGATAAAAGAGTGAGTCTGCGATAAGAAACACGCAGGTTAACAGAGGTGTGGTGAGATTTCTATGGTGAAGACATTATTTTAATTTTAAACTTGCTTACGCAAAAATCTACTCTACAAACTTTATCTTAAAATCCAAAATGGTTCCCCGCATAGTGAGAACATGTAGCTAAAATGTCACAAATGTTATATTTGCATTAATTTTTTTTTATTCCAATATAATTGCACTTTGCAAACGGATGCTGTGGTTTGTGGTGGAAATGGAGGTTTGATGGAATTGATAGAGATGGAGAATTAAATATTTTCTTTAAAAGAGTGGTAATGAAAGTAAGCTTTTTATGTTTATGTTGCAATCAGCCATAGAGGGACATGTAAGCGTATGCTAAAACTAGTCTGATTCAGTAGTCTAGACAGGAAGGGAACAATAGGGATGCTTAGAAGAGAAGTGAATTTAACCAATCAAATTTAAGAAAACATTGCATTTCTTAACCCATAAATATATGTATCATTTTTTTGAGGTTGTAGAGTTGCTCTGTTGTGTCTGAAGTGCCTCATGGCCGGACTTTTTTTATTAAAAAATGTTCTCAATTACAACAAATTAGCTTGAAATGCTTTGACTTTTCACTCTTTACGTTATTTGCATATAAATCACCTGTTCAACTTGTCAAAATGCATATACAACACTGAATATATAAGGACAAGGCTGTTGTTCAGATCAAATACACAGTAGCAGAAAAATGAATTGAACTGCATACAATCATTAAAATAAACTTCAGTAAAAAAATTTTAAAAACAGCAGTTCTGCATACATACACAGACAACACAGAGTATTTCTTTAAACATTCATGCACTTTTAGTCAGCATTATGAAATATAAAATAAAAAAGTATTTTCAGTCAGTGCTCAAGACTCAGCGTGTACATTAAGAGCATGCAAGTTATCGATCCCTCATTGGATTACTGTTTGTAATATAAATCCAGACCAGCATGGCTCTGCAGATACAGTGGTCACATGTTCAGTGTAATACGATGTCCTGGCGTGAAAATGAAGGACCGTCACAGCAGGTTTGAATCTAGTGCTGCCCGTTTCAGCCGTAACCATCGTTCCAGCCCATGACTTTGTCGTACTCGTGAATCCTCTGCTTGATGTGCGAGAGTTTGTTCTTCAAGTACTCACATCTTTCCTTCTTCTCCAAAAATGAAGGATCCTAGGGACAAAAACACCATCATAGACATAAATGAGACCATGAAGCGGGAGAACTAAATATCCTCTCAATGGCCGCATACACAGTAATTAAATCTGAGCAACTAGTCTTTAAAGGAATAGTTCATCCAAAAATGAAAAATGACTCAACCTCAGGCCTCCAAGATGTAGATGAGTTTGTTTCTTCATAGGAACAGATTTGAAGAAATGTAGCATTGCATCAGTGTCTCAGCAATGGATGCTCTGCAGTGAATGGGTGCCGTCAGAATGAGAGTCCAAACAGCTGATAAAAACATCACAATAATCCACAAGTGATCCACACCACTCCAGTCCATCAGTTAATGTCTTGTGAAGTGAAAAGCTGTGTTTATAAGAAACAAATCCATCATTAAGACGTTTTTAACTTCAAGTCGTTGCCAAAATACAAGTTAATGATCCATAATAATGCTTCATCCATTGAAAAAGTCCATCTCCTGTTGTCCTCTCACGGTGCTTGATTTGTGCAGATTTCTCTCCTGATTCAGATGAGACAACTTTTTCTTCGGAGAAAGCAGTATTATGGATAGAGGAGTCGCATTTTGGCTGGAAACAATGGTTTGAAGCTAAAAAGTCTTAATGATGGATTTGTTTCTTACAATCATGCAGCTTTTGGCTTTATAAGACATTAATTGGTGGACTGGAGTGGTGTGGATTACTTAATGTGGATTATTGTGATGTTTTTATCTGCTGTTTGGACTCTCATTCTGACGGCACCCATTCACTGCAGAGTATCCATTGCTGAGACAGTGATGCAATGCTACATTTCTCCAAATCTGATGAAGAAACAAACTCATCTAGATCTTTGGTTGCCTGAGGGTGAGCACATTTTTAGCCTATTTTAATTTTTTGGTGAACTATTCCTTTAATGCAGCTCATCTGAGGTTCTAGAAAATCACAGAAACAAAACCGTGTGTCTTGACTGTGTCATGACCTCCTGTGCTATCACTCAAAATATGGCTCAAACTGTCTTTATAGAGGAGCCACCGATGGTCTGAGTGGCTACAGTTATTTCCTTCTCTTGAAAAGACACAATGGGGCAAATCCTGTGGGAAAATCAGCCTCCCCCTTTCCTCATCCTCCTTCCTTTCTTTCACCACTCGCGCTTCACAACGTTATAAATCAGCCAGACAAAACCTACTGGCCTGTAGAGCCCAGACAGAATCTCAAGACTGATTCTCAAGGCTGATTTTCTTGGGAAAAGGATTTAAATATAGTAATATCTCTTAAAATAAGCTGAGAGTACTACACTTTTTGTAGATGTATGTATAATCAAATTGCCAACATTTATGCTTGTCATGTGTACACTTGTGCATGGTTTAATTTGAACTGTAAGAATAGTGATGTGACCCTTATGATTGTGAATGTGGAATATTTTGTAACATTAAACCCCTAAAACAAACGTATGATGAACAAAATCACATTGTTTTCACATGTAGCTTATGTATGATGCTGCAAGTGACAGAATGGCATGTAAAAAAAAAAAAAAATCAGGTCAATTATTTCTTTGAAGGTAAAATAATAATAATAATCAAATTAAATAAAAACATTAATTAAATAGTGCACAATACAGTTTTAGTCAGTATGTTTACTAGTCAAATGGATTCCAATAACTCACCATCTTCTTCCTCTGATATTCCTGCAGGATTTTGTTGATGCGATCACGCTCCTACAATCAAAAATGAGAGATTTTTTTAGAATTATACTAGAATTATTCTTCTGAAATACATTATTTACATTTATGCATTTAACAGACACTTTTATCCAAAGCGACTTTCGAAAAAAGAACAAAAGCAAAAGCCAACAATATTCACAACATGCAATGCCAGGTTTATCAGACCAGATTTAACTAGATTTAGGAAGCAATGCATTAGTAAATGTTGAAATTAACATTAACTAAAATTAATAAATGCTTTATAAGTATTTTTGATTGTTAGTTCATGTTAACTAATGTGACCTTATTGTAAAGTGTTACCAAAAAAAGTTATTTTTTCTGAGGCATCAAAACATCTGTTCTTCTAGTGTCCAACAATGAACATTTAGGAAACATACTGCAAAGACTAGGATTAAAAATTAGTTTTTCCAAAACACATACAGAGACATGGATTTGTGCTTGATGAAATTCTTTTACAAGTCACAAAGGACAGACTAAAGTGTACAGTAATAGCAAATTTCGACTGACCATATGGCTGGTGGGATTTTGCGGTAAATTCTGCATCATCACATCCATTTCATCAAACTTCTTCAGAATCGCTTGAACTTCTACATGCAGCTCTTTATACTCAGAATACTGGTCATTAAACACGGCTTTATACTGGTCCCGCTGCTCGTCTGTTCGGATAGCTGGATATTTACTGCAGGGAAAGACAAAACACAGGGGTGAGCTTAATCAGAGAGCAAAAGCATCTCATGGTCACGAAATGAGTTCTCTTTTTTTAGATGGTGAAGCAAATACTCACGCGATGTAGTCCGGCATGATCACAGGTTTAGGAGCGTGTCCCGCTGGAATATGCCCTTTCACAACTTTGGGCTTGGCGACGGCAGGGGCGGCAGTGTGTGTGTGCTGTACCGGTGCAGAGACTGCCATCGGCTCCCTTGAACCATCAACAACCTATTAGAGTGAAGAGAAGGATACAAAATTACCAGCAATATTCTCTGACTATATCACATACTGACCCTTCGCTAAGCCTCGCCCACCTTAGTTTTGATTATTAATAGAGTGCTGGAGGAATGGTGTATTTTTGTGGGCCAAAACCCAGAAACAAGTTGCATTTTAGCACTTCTGGTTCCATCGTCCTGAAGTCAATGGGTTTTTGGTTAAATGTCTGAAATTAGGTCTGTGGTTACATCAGTAATAGCCGTTTTACTTGCCTTGAAAAAGGCTAATAAGCGGCTAAATGGGACTACAAAGGTTGTTGATAGGATATTAAACATCACTGAACAGGTAAACTCATCTTTGTTTGGCAGTCGAACATGGATGAAGGCAAATGAATGAAGTAAATTACCTCAGGAATAACTCTGGATTAAGATGCATTTAAATGTATGAATTATATTTTGTTATATTAGTCGCCAAATTGGTTTCCAGTATGCCCTTATAGGCTATATGCAAAACATTAAACTAGTAGAGAAATATGCAATGGAAATGTCTGCTTGTTAATCTGGGCAACAAATACTTATATTACATAACCAGAATTATTCATTTGAACTAGAAATGCTATACATCCAAAATTTTTAGCAGATGGCAATGCACCATGGGTAAACATGAGAACAGACAGAGCCAAAATACTTGCCAAATGCACAGCAGAAGGAGAATCTCTTGGCTGCATCTATAAAGCAGAAGCGGAGCTGATTCAATTATTGTTGTATTCATTTTTGCAACTATATTTAATTATACCAAATGAAGATATGAAGATACTGGCAATGATACATCATGATTAACTAGGTACGACATAACAATACTACAGCAATTTTCT